CATGATGAGGGCTAATCTTTGCATATTTGACACAAAAGTAACTCACAAATAATGCTCTAGTTTAGTTGGAGCAAAAATGCTACCAGTGTGGACTCACTGGTCAACTGCCTCCCCTGCGGAAATGGTCATAGTCAAATCATGTTCAAACCATATTTTTTAAACTGGCTGAACATGTCAAAAAGAACATGACTGTGGACTACCTATGTTTTGGGAATGTTATAACCACAAGTGTCTAAAAGGAATTCTTATACAGTGAAATTCTTGCACAATGCAGCTTTTGAATATGGACAAATGAAATTTTTTGTACAAGTAGGAAGTAAAAAGGCATTTGCCTTAATTATTAGTACAGTCATTTGAATAAATGGGAAGCATCTATAATCAACACAAAGAATTGCACATCAAAAAAGTTCATCACACAGACCATTCAATTGCAGTTTATCTAGATCATATAATTGCAAAATATTTGTACATGGAAATTGGAAATGTCAGCTTTATATTACTGAACTGCCAAATTATTTTTGAGTGTGATTAATTACATGAGTCTGCCTTTTCCTAAATTGTACCAGATGAATGAAAGAACAAGAATTGAATGAAATTGATAACTTTGTGGCAAAATAAGCAAACTCTCCTACAAAGACATCGAAAAGGATAAATAAGTATGTGGGAAAGAATAATTTTTCAAAGTCTACGTTAACCCATTCAGTACTTTACAATGTTGTTTTGAAATTATGCAGATTTAAATAAAAGAGTTGTGAGTAAACAAATTGTACATTAATTTTTGACAACTATTTATACATGTTTTTAATTAAGATTGTGTTACAACAGCTTCATAATGATCATTTTTAAATATGATATGATATAAATGGACCACTTCAGAAATTTGGATAAAATGAACAAACATAAAATTCAAGATATCTGGAGTTGGCAAAACAGTGTCAAAATATTCCAGAATAAGTGGACTCTTATGGTTATGATTTGAGTTTCAGGACCATGATATGGTAGTATTTTTGCTGTCAATATGATTATCAACAACTGCTTTGATTATGAAATAGCAATGTTACTGACATAGTCAAAGTAACTTTTAGTTAAAACGAAACCATTTCAATGTCATCAATTTTGAGTTGGTATATCATGGCCAAATCATTTTTGACCATGTTCAAAACATGGTTGACTTAGTTATGTCCATGATTATTTTGACAGGGTTACAAGTTATAAGTATGTTTATAACAAAAGATAAAAAAAATTAGGAATATCAGTGAAAAGATAGGGCATCTTTAGGAATTCCCTTTGAATTTTTCACTTTTTTAGGAATTTTAGCCAACTGAAAAAAATTAGGATTTTTTTAGGAATTTTAGGGACGCAGCGGACAGCCTGCATAAGTGAACCACAGCATCAGCATCCCGGCAGAAAGTTACAGCAATGCATGACCATCATCTGAATGGTCACCTGAAATAAAGTTGACATACTGATGCACTGCTTTTCATGGTGACCATGCAAATGGCTATGTGGAGCACAGCAGCCTTGAGCATAGTAATGTGATGCTGATGCAGGCATACACATTCTCTTACCTGTAAAATACAAAATGCCAAAAGCAGTACCAAAATTTAAATCTCTTTGAATTCCTTGGCAATATATTTTTAAAACTAGAACTCTGCGAGTCGGATGTGTTGCCTTGTGAACAATGTAGTTTAGGAGAAATGGCCAGGACAAAAATGAAATATGAAAAATAACAAAGGGCAATAACTAAAAAAATAATAAGTGCAGAGCGGCAGTTTCTGTACAATGCACTTCTTATCAATAAGATCTATCATTCTATGATGTTTCAAGTCCATAGCTTTCATACTTGAGGAGAAATAACCAGGACAAAAATAAAGTAAGAAAATCAACAAAGGGCAATAACTCAAAAATTTAGAAATGCAGAGTACCGATTCTTGTGCACTGCACTTCTTCTTAATGAGATCTATCATCCTATGAAATTTCAAGTCCATAGCTTTTATACTTGAGGAGAAATGGCCTGGACAAAAAATAAGTATGAAAATTAACAAAGGGCCATAACTCAAAAAATTAGAAATGCAGAGTACCGATTCTTGTGCACTGCACTTCTTCTTAATAAGATCTATCATCCTATGAAGTTTCAAGTCCATAGCTTTTATACTTGAGGAGAAATGGCCCGGACAAAATTAAAGTATGAAAATAAACAAAGGGCAATAATTAAAAAACAAGAGCTGTCGGTAGGACAGCAACGCTCGACTATTCTTAGTGCTTGATAGTAAAAAAAATGCCTGATACAGTTACCTCCTCCTGTTTACAGGTTGGGGTCATGATGGTGAACAAGTGTGCAAAGTTTCAAAGCCATATGTCAATGGACTTTGAAAATATTTGAACTATTACAAAAACTTTAACGTAAATTCTAAGTTGAAAAAGGGGCATAATTCTGTCAAAATGCTTGATAGAGTTACCTCCTCCTGTTTACAGGTTGGGGTCATGATGTTGAACAAGTGTGCAAAGTTTCAAAGCCATATGTCAATGGACTTTGAAAATATTTGAACTATTACAAAAACTTTAACGTAAATTCTAAGTCGAAAAAGGGGCATAATTCTGTCAAAATGCTTGATAGAGTTACCTCCTCCTGTCTACAGGTTGGGGTCATGATGATGAACAAGTGTGCAAAGTTTCAAAGCCATATGTCAATGGACTTTGAAAATATTTGAACTATTACAAAAACTTTAACGTAAATTCTAAGTTGAAAAAGGGGCATAATTCTGTCAAAATGCTTGATAGAGTTACCTCCTCCTGTTTACAGGTTGGGGTCATGATGTTGAACAAGTGTGCAAAGTTTCAAAGCCATATGTCAATGGACTTTGAAAATATTTGAACTATTACAAAAACTTTAACGTAAATTCTAAGTCGAAAAAGGGGCATAATTCTGTCAAAATGCTTGATAGAGTTACCTCCTCCTGTCTACAGGTTGGGGTCATGATGGTGAACAAGTGTGCAAAGTTTCAAAGCCATATGTCAATGGACTTTGAAAATATTTGAACTATTACAAAAACTTTAACATAAGTGGTTACGCCGACGCTGACGCCGACGCTCGGGTGACTGCAATAGCTCTACTTATTCTTATCGAATAGTCGAGCTAATAAGAAATGCACAGTACCAGTTCTTGTGCACTGCACTTCTTCTTAATGAGACCAATCATCCTATGAAGTTTCAAGTCCATGGCTTTTATACATTAGGAGAAATGGCCCGGACAAAAATAAAGTATGAAAATTAACAAAGGGCAATAACTCAAAAATTAGGAAGTGCAGAGTACTGGTTCTTGTGCACTGCACTTCTTCTTAATGAGATCTATCATCCTATGAAGTTTCAAGTCCATAGCTTTTTAAGTTGAAGAGAAATGGCCCGGACAAAATTAAAGTATGAAAATTAACAAGAGCTGTTGGTAGGACAGCAACGCTCGACTATTCTTAGTGCTTGATAGTAAAAAAAAATGCTTGATACAATTACCTCCTGCTGTTTACAGGTTGGGGTAATGATGGTGAACAAGTGTGCAAAGTTTCAAAGCCATATGTCAATGGACTTTGAAAATATTTGAACTATTACAAAAACTTTAACGTAAATTCTAAGTCGAAAAAGGGGCATAATTCTGTCAAAATGCTTGATACAGTTACCTCCTCCTGTTTACAGATTGGGGTCATGATGGTGAACAAGTGTGCAAAGTTTCAAAGCCATATGTCAATGGACTTTGAAAATATTTGAACTATTACAAAAACTTTAACGTAAATTCTAAGTCGAAAAAGGGGCATAATTCTGTCAAAATGCTTGATACAGTTACCTCCTCCTGTTTACAGGTTGGGGTCATGATGGTGAACAAGTGTGCAAAGTTTCAAAGCCATATGTCAATGGACTTTGAAAATATTTGAACTATTACAAAAACTTTAACATAAGTGGTTACGCCGACGCGGACACCAACGCCGACGCCGACGCTCGGGTGACTACAATAGCTCTACTTATTCTTATCGAATAGTCGAGCTAACAAAGGGCAATAACTCAAAAAATAAGAACTACAGAGTACCGGTCCTTGTGCACTGCACTTCGGGTTACTGAAAGAAGCATGCATACCAAGTTTGAAGTCAATCAGACGTTATAGTGACTGAGTTATGCTCCGGACAAGCTTTAGGGGACGCCGACGACGACGCCGACAACGACACAGACGCCGCCGCAAGGCCACACAAAAAATATAGGAAAAATAATCAAAATATAGGAGAATATAGGAAAAATAGGAGGTTTTTTAAAATATAGGATTCCGACCCAAAATATAGGAGTTTTATAGGAATATAGGAATTGGTTGACAGCCTGTGTTAAGTTATTATATTCTTATGCAAATATTATACGTCCTCTGTCTTTGCTTACTTTCATAGAAACATGTTGTAACTATTTTAAGTCCATATTTTTCTAAAATGATCATTTGGTAATCAGCGAGAACTTCTGGATGGGAGTCTTCCTTCCTGATGTAAATTTGAGACATCTAGAAATAAGAGGCTCTATCGCACAAAGTCCTTAACATTTTCAATTTAGTTGTGTCTAGTGACATTTAAGTGTCCCTTTTGAAAGGCTACGACGTTTGAAAGCCTTTGACGCCAAAATAGAGCCACTGGCCAGCAAGCATGTCCATGCTGTCTGTCCCGGATCTATATTGACTGAAGCTCACTTTTTGTATTTTGATATTGAAATCCCTTATACTTCAAATGGATTATTCTAAAGTCACAGCTTGAAAAATTGCATTACAAAAATTCAGCATATTTTTCTCTGACTTAATGGTAATTAAAGCTGCATGCCCAAAGATGAATCAAAATATTTCAAGAAAATTAAACTGTTTGCAATTTTAACATTTAATTTTCTTTGTTCACATTACAATTTTTTTACTTTTCAAAACATTTTCAAAATTTTCATGAAAATCTGGAGGCGTGCTGCTTTAAAAAAAATAAAAATGTACAAACCTTTGAAACTTGACAAGAAAGTCTCTGGAATTCCACTATATGTACCCTGTCTTCCTAGCGTATGGTAGCCACCTATATGTTTGTTATAAGAGTGATTTGTGGTAATATCGTCACCGTTATGTGAACATCTTTGTAGGGCAAGGTCAGGCGGAGATAGAGATCCCGTCTTCGTTGACTCGCCATTCGTTAGAAGCTCATCTGTACTCTTGAGAAAAATGGAAAAAGAAAAGTTTATAAACCTTGCCTTTATTTGAATAAGATGAAGATCAATTTTTTTAAATATTTAGTTCCATTATGTATGTTTAATTCTGAATATAAAAGACACAATAAAAGTAGTGCTACATTTGGGGAGGTGTGTGGCAGTATCAATGACAAAATGTGGGAACAACACGAAGGGGTTTATGAAACCTGAAATTATCAAACAGACAAAAATAAGGTAATAAATGCACCTTTTTTTTATGCATAAACATCTGTGAAAGCTTTCAGGCTAATTATTAGAATTGCCCTGCCCTCTGGCTCAAGCTTTAAATGGCTTCCTGCAGAATGATGTTAATGGACAAAATAAAAAACAACAGTACATTAACCCTCTAAAAGTTGTTACACAGTCCTTCATGACCATTTATATATTAAATTATGCCTAGGTTAGTGCTTAAAAGGTTATGATAGTTGTAGCAATTTTACACAGTCTATAAGAAAGCTCTATTATAATACAGACTACATGCAACATCTTTATATCCTTGTAGTAATTATCATTAGCTACCAACAGGCTTTCTCAAAAACCTACAAAATTGAGCCGCGTCACGACAAAACCAACGTAATGCGTTTGCATCCGCGCAGTCTGATCAGGATCCATGCTGTTTGCTATTAGTTTCTCTATTTGTAAGAGAGTTTGTTAGCGAACAGCATGGATCCTGATCAGACTGCGCGGATGTGCAGGCTGTTCTGGATCCATGCTGGTCGCAAACCCATTATGTTGGTTTTGTTGTGATGCGGCTCAAATTATTATAAGGCTACCAACAGGACTCCTGTCTTTCTACTTTAAAGCAGCCTCCAGCTTTTCTAAAGGTTGAATAATGTTATTTTAAGATAAATCGTTTCATAATAATAATTTTCGAATCAAAAAGATTAAGGTGAAAAACTGAAATTTGGCGATAATGAAATACATAAACAATCAGAAAACTCTTCAATATCTCCAATCTACCAGTCCACATTCTATATCTAAATTACTAAAGCAAACAATTTGTTTCCTGATTTTCTATTTTTAGATACAAACTTTACTGACACATTATATTATAGCTCTCTCGACTTTGTTTTAATGAAGCTTAATAGCAGTGATACGATACACTTTTCCAAATAAAATTAACTGAAATACTTAGTTAGAAACAACACAGAATTTTTTTTCTAACACAGAAAATAAAAGCTGAAGGCTGCTTTAAAAACTGCGAAACAATTTGTGTAAATTATTATTCCAGTAGCCTCTTTACTTAAAATTTCAATAATGGCTGTTTCAGCGGCAATTATAATTTCCTCTTCCATCCTATAATCATTAACAATTAATTTTTCACATTCCATAGCTCTTAAGGTAGCGCTGGGGTGCTGATATTAACAAACAGGCCTGCTAGTTGGAATTTGGTAAACAATATTTTTAGAGTCAAGTAGTGTGATTCATATTAAGATTTTTTTGGCAGATACATCTGGACAACTGTGATTACTGGTATATTGATGTAGATAATCCACAAACAATTCCTTTCAACATAATTTGTAATGTGGCATGAACATATTAAACCAGCTACTATATAAAATAGCCAGTGAATAACCAAGAATACTGTTACTTATACTGTTTAGATTTTCCTACACTTTAACTACTTTTTACTCTTTTACTACTCGATTTTAAACTCATTACACCTGGACTGCATGGAGCAGTAACCTCTAGATGCTTGCAGAAATCATGATCACAAAATAGACAACATACCGTTTTGTTTTTTTTGCCAATTATTACATTTTCATTCATTATCATATATAAATTGCTGTGATTAAAGACGAATAATATCGACATTTTAAAGTTCATTTTGTTGAGTAAAAAGGCAAGATTTTAGCATTTAATCATTCAAGCACCTTGTGCAGTATATACCTGAATACGGTATTTAGTGTTGTGCTCCAATCTCACTCACTTAATATCTAATTAAATATTCTTATAACAAGAGCTGTCGGTAGGACAGCACGCTCGACTATTCTAAGTGCTTGATAGTAAAAGAGCTTTGATAATGTTAAATTTTTTAAGTTCACAAAAGGGCTAAATTTTTTTTATAAATTCATGTTATAGGCCTTAGAGAGAGTTTAATTATACAGTATTGGCTTAAATTTTCGGAAGGTAATGTCACAAGGGTGTTTTATTGAGTATAATAATACTAATTACCTATGAATACATAAATTTGACAGAAAAGGTACAATTTACGCTTGTTATTAATATGTTTTATCAAGTAAATTACTGCTTTATTATTATGAATGCATTAAATTGTCCCAAAAAAGGCACAAACCCTTCAGTAGTTATTGAGATAACAGCTTACAAGCAAAACTTTACCATGAATTTCTAAGTTGAAAAAGGGGAGAAAAATCAGCCTAAATGCAAGATAGAATTATGGAGCTTTGTCAGTGACCTACAATTATGACCCTAAATGCATATGTGAAGTTTTAAATAAATATCTTTAATAGTTATTGAGATATGTAAAACGTGTATGTAAACATTAACCAAGAGACTAAGTAGAAAAGGGGATATGAATCAGCCTTAATGCAAGATAGAGTTATGGAACTTGGTCAGTGACATACAATTATGACCCTCCAATTATGACCCTAAGTGCATGTGTAAAGTTTCAAGTAAATATCTTTGAATACCTTTAACCTTTAACCACAATTTCTAAGTTTCAAAGGGGCAAAATAATTCTGCAAATATTGCAGGCAAAGTTATGCAATTTTGCAAACTGATGTACATTGTTACTATCAAAAAGCATTTTAAATTTCAATTGAATATCTCAAGCAATAATTGAGATATTTGACTTTACAAAAAAAACTTTAACCAAAATTTCTAAGTTCCAAAGAGGCATAATTCTGTCAATATTGTAGGCAGAGTTATCCAACTTGTCAATCTGATGTACCTTGTTACTGTAAATAAGTATTGTAAGTTTCAATTGAATATCTCAAGCAATAATTGAGATATTTGACTTTACAAAAAACTTTAACCAAAATTTCTAAGTTAAAAAGGGGCATAATTCTGTCAATATTGTAGGCAGAGTTATCCAACTTGTCAATCTGATGTACATTGTTACTATAAATAAGTATTGTAAGTTTCAATTGAATATCTCAAGCAATAATTGAGATATTTGACTTTACAAAAAACTTTAACCAAAAATTTCTAAGTTAAAAAGGGGCATAATTCTGTCAATATTGTAGGCAGAGTTATCCAACTTGTCAATCTGATGTACCTTGTTACTATAAATAAGTATTGTAAGTTTCAATTGAATATCTCAAGTAATAAATGAGATATTTGACTTTACAAAAAACTTTAACCAACGCAGACGCCGACGCGGACGCTGACGCGGACGCCGACGCCGGGGCGACTACAATAGCTCTCATATTCTTCGAATAGTCGAGCTAAAAATTGTAAACAGTAAAATAATATTGTTTCCATAATTCTATGGTCGATTCTCAAAAGACTTAATTGTAACATGAAATGTCTCTGTTTATTTAAAACACATGAATATTGTATATAAACAGAATTAAACATTGCAGAATGAAATGTTACCGTTCAACAATGATTTCCTGCATGTATAGTTCTCTTTTAAGGCAATATACCACCTTATTTCTTTCATACAAGCATTTTGAATGGTTCATTTTTTAAAATTGAACAATTTTTGCAGCAAATATATAGTATATAAAATTTATACACTTTAAATTTAGCTTGTGTTTTGTTTTATTAATTTCATTACTTACCTCTTGGTCACTTTCATGTATTGTGTCTTCTTTTGATATGGCTGGAAATAGACAAAAAACACAACAATTTAGAATAAATTTCAATGGCATTAATCTATTTTATGGCAACCAACCAGTGCATATCACTATGAACAAATATATGTTCAATTAGTTATACCTTAACAGCACACAATGTAGCGTGTACATAAATACAAGACATTCATTTATAGCCATTTAATGACCAAATCTTACTCCATAACCAGACAATAATTAATGATTAATCAAAGAACCAGTCTGTCTAATAATTAATTTTCATCATTTGGACGAAGTTTTAGACATTTTTCTTTTTGGTTAGAAGACCTTGAAATAAGGGGATAGATTTTCTTTTATTTCATTACTTCAAAGTTTGATATTTTGATTGGGTTTACATTGTACCATCACAGTATAAGTCATATGGTGTTTTTGAAGCTTTACTGGTGGATGAAGACCTCATATGCATCATATTTCAGGCACAAACGGCCACCTTAGTTAAAGCCACCTGCATAAGCTAGCTGGATATGAACAGATCATTATAATCATGAAGACTATAAGATCTACAAGTGGAAGAAGTGATCCTCTGGTCTCTACAGTGCATTATTTCAGACTAAAGGTGTCATAATTTAACATAATTCCACCTTAGAGGGTTGTGCCAGCTAGCTCACAGCTTCCTCAAAATTAATGAAAGAATGTAAACTGACCAAAGTAATATAGAATTATAAGTCATAGCTTGTTTCTTTAGTTTTATGGCCCACCAGCACAATTTATAATAAGGTCATAAGGCGCTGAAACATGAAAGATGATTTTGGTTTACCTCAGGTGTTGCAAACTTTAAGCAACACTAGCAGTGAAAACGAGCTCATCTGCTAGAGCTAAAAGATGCATAATACACCAGTCATTCAGACTCATCTAGTCGCCTCTTATAATCACACAGGGATAACAACAGTGGCTGCAATTCTGATGCCTCAACCCTTAAAGGCAGGCAGGCTCAATCACAAGGGATAAGAGTTCATATAGCAATTAAGGGTCAAGACTGACATATTCCAAATGTCAGACACACATGATCTGTAGTCACTTAAGGCAATTAAGCAAAGCCCCAAAGAGTTGGAAAAATCCATATATAGTAGAACTGTATATAAATTCATTTACTTTTAAAAGACATCAGATAATAATGGTTCACAAACATATTAATTATGATAACTAAATCTCCATTCCGTATACATGTAAAGTAATAAAATTCCAGCACTTGGCATAAATTATTCAATATTCATTACAAAACGGTGAAAGAATAACCAAGGCAGGCAACTCTAACCAGCTAATATGGCATTTCAGACAAAACTGAGCGTACTTGATTTCTGCAAAATGTCAGACAAATTACTTCTACATAATTAATTATGATGACCTCTAAACAGTAACAATATCATCTGACTCGTAACCTACATCATATTACATTTATGTTAAAAAATCTCAATCATTATATATTCATATATGCATGTAGTTCAAAATTTGATATAAAAAAATCTATAAGCTACAAAAATGGCCAAATTTTCTTCCACCCTTCTATGTTAACACAATTTACTGGTGATCTTAATTTGGGCTATCAAGAGGTAAAATTTAAGTTTGCCAGCCAAAAGTTAATGTGCGGATCTGGCTCCTGGCTCTGTACTCACTGGTGGCAAAGGATCATTATTTTGGGTTCCAGAGCAATTATCTTGATAAAACATCAGAATATCAAGGTTTTGTTGTGTTGAAAATTAGCATTCCAGTTGTTCCTGTTTTTTATTTAATTTTTTTTTTGGGGGGTGGGGGGGGGGTTTATGTCACACCAGTATAGGTCATATGACAACTTATCATGTTGACGCCCTTCCCTGTCTTATTTCAGACACAAATGGGCACCCGAGTAGATTATTAATATTAGATAATTTCAAATAATATTTTCATTTTAAGCAATAATTTCAGTTAAAACTCAAAAACGCAAAACCAATAAATAATGAAGTGGGTCAGTCTGGAATATTCAGCTGCTATGCTTGTTAAATTGGCGTTAAATCCTATGAATTTTGAATTTCTAATCAACTTATTACCAGTGATATCTCATCAATATTGCAATGGTTGCAACTCAGAGAAACTGCATGTACTACATTTAATCCTAACACAAATTGTTATACAGATATCAATGATCTTTTTTGTGCGTTTATACTTAATAATATGCTTAAAATAATAGTTCAAAACTTGAAATGCTTCCATAGCATATCAAACATTCCACTGTTTTGTCAGAATTACAAGGTTTTGTTTGGTTTTACAGAGCACATACACAATTTGAGGTGCCTATAAATATAGCAGTTTTACTTTAAAGTTACAAATGACAGATTCAAAATATGCTAAATATTTTTAAATAAGGGGCATAACTCTGCAAGTCTCCAATAAATTTGTGATACAATTTAGCAAGACAGCATAAAGTCATATGATGACAGACATTCTTATTAAATAACATGACCCTTATCAAAGTGTTATACTTTTGTAGTGTATAGCATACAACACAGTCTAAGGTCTAAAAATGTTTATTTGAATTTAATGAGGGGCCATAACTCTTATGGCTTTAATAAATTTTTGTCAAAATACTCAGCAGTTTTTAAGTCCATAAGGCACACAACTATTCTGTGACATTTGCATGATTCTTAGAGTTTTAAATACACATTTCCAACATTCATGACACACAGTGCCTTTCAGGCTTTCCCAGGAGACAATGTGAAATACTTGGGGTCCGTCTCTCTCAGAATGCCATTATATTATGAGAAACAAGCAAGCACAATTTAAGGGGAAGTGCCTTCTACAAGCTTCATAACATATGAGCCGCGTCATGACAAAACCAACATAGTGCGTTTGCTACCAGCATGGATCCAAACGCCTGCGCATCCGCGCAGTCTGATCAGGATCCATGCTGTTCGCTTACAAACCCTATAACAAGTGGAGAAACTGATAGCGAACAGCATGGATCCTGATCAGACTGCGCGCAATTGCGCAGGCTGGTCTGGATCCATGCTGGTCGCAAGCGCACTATGTTGGTTTTGTCATGACACGGCTCATATATCATGGTTTCAAAGAACTTAATAATTAAATTAAAGGGACTGAGACTGTAGGTCAGAGAGGCAAATACCATCGTAAGTGACACAAACCCCCGAGTAGATCTCCTGGCTACAGACACCCAATTATACATGAAATTTTATGATAAATGTTTGGATAAAAATATCACAAAGCATTTCACATTCAGTTACCATGCATACAGTTAAAGCAAAAATATGAGATATTTTTAATATTAAAAATTCTAGTACATTTTTAAGTACCGTACAATTTTTTTTACTGGTATCTATTTTAATTTCTATATTACATGTACATGTATTTTAATTTAAATGAATTTGTTACTTCATATCCCTTCACATTACCTTTTCTATGTATTGATTGAAATTTCTACCTTCAATGCCAACAATACAATGTTACAAATATCATAATAACATCCGAGAATCATTACATCGTAACTGGGAACAAATTTTCAAAACGTAATTAATATGCTTGATTAAATCGTACAAATTAATAATCTCTGCCTTTCTCAAACACAATTAATCCATATGAAAACACAAGTTACGTTTAATAACCCCTCTTTTATCTCAAATAATTACTTTTTCCGGAAAAAACATTTCAAGAGAATTTGCCATTCCTATTAAATGAAATTGTTAACCATCAAGTTTAAGGTGCTCCAGTCATCAAGCATGCAGTGTCATACTTCAAATCATAGGGGGGCTTATAATGTGGACAACTGATCAAGGTCACTTGCCCTTTCCCTGCTTAGCTACCATGTCAGTGATTTAAGCTACCTTGTCAGTGATCTAAGCTACCTTGTCAGTGATCAGTATGCTACCTTGTCAGTGATCTAAGCTACCTTGTCAGTGATCTAAGCTACCTTGTCAGTGATCAGTATGCTACCTTGTCAGTGATCAGTATGCTTCCTTGTCAGTGATTAGTATGCTATCTTGTCAGTGATCTAAGCTACCTTGTCAGTGATCTAAGCTACCTTGTCAGTGATCTAAGCTACCTCTTCAGTGATCTAAGCTACCTCGTCAGTGATCTAAGCTTCCTTGTCAGTGATCTATGTGTCTTTGTCAGTGATCTAAGCTTAATTGTCAGTGATCTAAGCTACCTTGTCAGTGATCTAAGCTACCTTGTCAGTGATCTAAGCTACCATGTCAATGGTCTTTGCTTCCTTGTCAGTGATCTAAGCTACCTTGTCAGTGATCTAAGCTACCTTGTCAGTGATCTACTACCTTGTCAGTGATCTAAGCTACCTTGTCAGTGATCTAAGCTACATTGTCAGTGATTTAAACAACCTTGTCAGTGTTCTTAAATTATTGTCAATGATCTAAACTTCTTCGTCAGTGAATTAAGCTCCCTGACATCAGTGATTTGTCAGTGAATTTAGCTCCTTTATGTCAGTGATTTGTCAGTCAATTAAGCTCCCTTACAACAGAGATTTGTCAGTCAAATTAGCTCTCCAACGTCAGTGATGGTAGAAAAATTTGTTCCCCTTACGTCAATGAATTTATGTCCATTATGTCAGTGAATTAAGCTCCCTTATGTTAGTGAATTTATGTCCCTTCCGTCAGTGAATTTAGCTCCCTTACGTCGGTGAATTTAGCTCCTTTACTTCAGTGAATTTATGTCCCTAACGTCAGTTCATTATGTCCCTTAAAACACTAAATTTATGTTCCTTATGTCAGTGAATTTAGCTCCCTTACATCAGTGAATTTAACTCCCTTATGTCGGTGAATTTAGGTCCATTACGTCTGTAAATTTAGCTCCCATATGTCAGTGAATTTAGCTCCTTTACGTCAGTGAATTTAGCTCCTTTACATCAATGAATTTAGTTCCCTTATGTCAGTGAATTTATGTCCCTTATGTCAGTGAATTTAGCTCCCTTACGTCAGTGAATTTAGCTTTCTTATTTCAGTTAATTTAGCTCCTTTACGTCAGTGGATTTAGCTCCTTTCTGTCAGTGAATTTAGCTCCTTTACGTCAGTGAATTTATGTCCCTTACTTCAGTGAATTTAGCTCCTTTATGTCAGTGAATTTAGCTCCTTTATGTCAGTGAATTTAGCTCCCTTATGTCAGTGAATTTAGCTCCCTTATGTCAGTGAATTTAGCTCCCTTACGTCAGTGAATTTAGCTCCTTTATGTTGGTGAATTTAGCTCCCTTATGTCAGTGAATTTAGCGCCCTCACGTCAGTGAATTTAGCTCCTTCAATATGTCAGTGAATTTAGCTCCCTTATGTCAGTGAATTTAGCTCCTTTATGTCAGTGAATTTTGCTCCCTTATGTCAGTGAATTTAGCTCCTTTACGTCAGTGAATTTAGCTCCCTTATGTCAGTGAATTTAGCTCCTTATGTCAGTGAATTTAGCTCCCTTAGGTCAGTGAATTTAGTTCCTTTATGTCAGTGAATTTAGCTCCTTTATGTCAGTGAATTTAGCTCCCTTATGTCAGTGAATTTAGCTCCTTTATGTCAGTGAATTTAGCTCCTTTACGTCAGTGAATTTAGCTCCCTTACGTCAGTGAATTTAGCTCCTTTATGTCAGTGAATTTATGTCCCTTACTTCAGTGAATTTAGCTCCTTTATGTCAGTGAATTTAACTCCTTTACGTCAGTGAATTTAGCTCCTTTATGTCAGTGAATTTAGCTCCTTTATGGCAGTGAATTTAGCTCCTTTATGTCAGTGAATTTAGCTCCTTTACGTCAGTGAATTTAGCTCCCTTATGTCATGAATTTAGCTCCTTTACGTCAGTGAATTTAGCTCCCCAACGTCAGTGAATTTAGCTCCCTTACGTCAGTGAATTTAGCTCCCTTATGTCAGTGAATTTAGCTCCCTTATGTCAGTGAATTTAGCTCCTTTATGTCAGTGAATTTAGCTCCTTTATGTCAGTGAATTTAGCTCCTTTATGTCAGTGAATTTAGCTCCCTTATGTCAGTGAATTTAGCTCCTTTATGTCAGTGAATTTAGCTCCCTTATGTCAGTGAATTTAGCTCCCTTACGTCAGTGAATTTAGCTCCGTTATGTCAGTGAATTTAGCTCCTTTATGTCAGTGAATTTAGCTCCTTTATGTCAGTGAATTTAGCTCCTTTATGTCAGTGAATTTAGCTCCTTTATGTCAGTGAATTTAGCTCCTTTACGTCAGTGAATTTAGCTCCCTTACGTCAGTGAATTTAGCTCCCTTATGTCAGTGAATTTAGCTCCTTTATGTCAGTGAATTTAGCTCCTTTATGTCAGTGAATATAGCTCCTTTACTTCAGTGAATTTAGCTCCTTTATGTCAGTGAATTTAGCTCCTTTATGTCAGTGAATTTAGCTCCTTTACGTCAGTGAATTTAGCTCCCTTACGTCAGTGAATTTAGCTCCTTTACGTCAGTGAATTTATGTCCCTTACTTCAGTGAATTTAGCTCCTTTATGTCAGTGAATTAGCTCCTTTATGTCAGTGAATTTAGCTCCCTTATGTCAGTGAATTTAGCTCCCTTATGTCAGTGAATTTAGCTCCTTTACTTCAGTGAATTTAGCTCCTTTATGTCAGTGAATTTAGCTCCCTTATGTCAGTGAATTTAGCTCCTTTATGTCAGTGAATTTAGCTCCCTTATGTCAGTGAATTTAGCTCCCTTATGTCAGTGAATTTAGCTCCCTTATGTCAGTGAATTTAGCTCCCTTATGTCAGTGAATTTAGCTCCCTTACGTCAGTGAATTTAGCTTTCTTATTTCAGTTAATTTAGCTCCCTTATGTCAATGAATTTAGCTCCTTTATGTCAGTGAATTTAGCTCTCTTATGTCAGTGAATTTAGCTCCTTTATGTCAGTGAATTTAGCTCCTTTACGTCAGTGAATTTAGCTCCCCAACGTCAGTGAATTTAGCTCCCTTATGTCAGTGAATTTAGCTCCCTAATTTGTCAGTGATCTTTGAAAATCTCAAGTTATAATGGATGTATTACCTTAGCCTGTATTACTCCGCAAAATTTCTCACAACAACATAATGATTCCATTATACAAAAAAATACTTGTTTTATTGCAGTGTTTAAAGCTCTCAGACAATTATATCCAGTAATAACACAGGCTTGTGATCAACTGAAGAAACCGGTTGGCAGTTTATATACAGAGAGGGGAAACAACTTAAAACCTGACATACATCAACAGCTGCTGTATAGCCCTTAAAACAGGAGCAGATAACTCTAAATTTAGTTATAAATATAAAAAACTTAACTCTTCCAATGAGATTTTGATTTAAGTTGTACTTACAAAGTCTTAATCTTCAAGTATCATCAGTTAATCCTTAAAGTGTTTTTATTCACTTTTCTAATGACAAAATCCTAAATTTCACAAATTCTCTTATTTTAAGCATTATGCATGGTATTCTAAATTGTAATGAGATTTCCTCATGTGAAAATAAGCTCTTATAATATTTTGAAGAGAAACATATTTGTGCAGTTATGCCTGAAAATTTCAAGTTTTTTAAGGTTACCGGACACCCTGTATGTAAATATAATATATACCCACAGCACAGTTATAAGAGATACGCATGAATTATGATGACATTATAGTGTTCAACATCATTTGCTGACCAATGAAATCACTCCAATTTTCAAAAATGTATGCACTTTTTTATAATCATATAGACAGGCAAATTTTGTCGCTTATTTCTTAAGTCAAACACTTAATTATTAAGAGTTTGGAATGAATATACAAATTGCAGCTTAAGAACTACAGATCTTGGTCAGTTATGACCTACAATTTTGTTCCCAAAGACTATAATGTGTGATGTTTCAAGTTAAAATATATACAGTCGGCATCGTACTTGCGTCCACCTTTATTAAGCGACTTTTTTATTAAGCGGCCGCATAAAATCCCTCCCGATGATTTTTACTATTTAATTTAATTCCATTAAACGACTATTCTATATCGCGGCCAACGGCCACTGAATGTCGGCCCAAATGTACAAAATTAAGTGTTAAAGTATCTATTAAACGGCCGTGACAAACAATCGTCCCTGCGGGCATTCTGACCTGTGTAATTAGCGAGTAGGTTAGATGTGTACAAGCAAACAAACAAATATTTTTCATGGTCAATGGTCACAAATAATTGTCGTTTAAAAACGAAATGAATAACAATTGCAATCGTTTCAAAATCGGATTTTCCGATCGTATTATTTATGTGACATATTTTTGTCAGAGCAATAACGTATCACAGCACCGCATTTGCATAGTTTTGTCATGTAATCAGAGTGACTTCCCTTATCGAAAATGACGTCGGATCGAGCGAAAAAAAGACAGACAACTAATAAGACCGGATAAATTGTATGAGGAAATCGTGCATGGAATTGAGTCTGAGTAAATAGCAAATGTCATCGATTGTAGTCGAAATAAAATCGTGAAACGTAGTGGATTAAACATTACAGAACCGAGCCTTTCATTGCTGATGGTGTAGGTACTCATCTGATGCTTTAATAAAATACATGTAGTACCTCATTAAATATGACCCTTCGACAAAAAAAGACAAAAAAAATCCTAGATCTCTAAAAATCTTATTGAACTTGAAATCGGGTAGTGTGTGAAAAACTAATTTTTGAAAAAATCAAGAAGTTTAAAACTCATTGCATAAAAAAATATCTGGAGCTGT